ATTTCTATCACTTTTGCATCATTCACGAAGACTTTGCGCCACACGAATGTTAATCCCATATTAAATGCAATTCTCTCACGGTTCACAGTTTTCGTATTAAGCTAACGCCCGCTTTACACTGTCAAATTTTCTGTGATCACAGTTGGAATTTTCAAACAACAAGTTTTAAAAGATTTGTTGAAAATTCTGGAGGGAACTGTAACGCTATAATTAATACGAAGTTATTTCATCCTATATTCAGTACGTAATGCTTAAAACTTTCGATCTTATAACGCAAAATTGAAACCGTGAACACAAAAACTTTGACAGTGTAAACCGGGCCTAAGAATCATTGCCCCGTGTAATTCTTTCAGGGTCTAAATTGATTTTACGCAAATAACTAAAATTTATCTTGCCCCCTGTGGTATTGGTTGCGTAAAATCGTACCACGCGAAACTTCAAAGTACTATATTATGAAACTATAATAATAACATTCAATTTGAAAAGAAGAATAATAAAACAACGCGAGTGTGGGTAATACTGCCCAAAAATCCGTTTTTAAATGTTATGGTAAATATTTTGTATTTCGCTTGTATCCACACATAACCCGCATATACGCCAATAGCGTCAGCAAAGAATGCATTGTTATGAATGAATTAACCAGCTGAGTCTTTAATATAAGCTATTATTATTTATTGTCCAGAACTTTTCGAATTGTCATATAGATTGTAAAATACAGCTTTGCACAATGTATGCAATTTACCATACTATTAACTATTAAGTTGCAAGAAGCTAGTGACGTAGCTAGCCCGACAATTTAGTCATGCTATGCATGCTTATATTTTGGTGTTCGTTGACGTTTGGTGAGTATATTTAGTATAATAGTGCAGGATTAGCAATTGAGAGGCAAAAATTTTCACTATGAAGACATGCATGCACAAAAGCTGGTGTCGCGTGTCATAAATAATTTGAAGAAATATTTTCTTGATTTGAATTGAATAGATGAGTTATTTACAATCTATATGTCTTAGTCTTAGACTTGATGATCGCGTCTGTTTAGTGGCAAGGGCAAACTTATCTTCACAGAAAGATAAACTGGTAGTAAATTCTCGTTTTTACGCCCTCAATTTCTATCACTTTTATATCATTCACGAAGACTTTGCGCCACACGAATGTTAATCCCATATTATAATGCCATTCTCTCGATGTTCACAGTTTTCTTATTAAGCTAACGCCCAGTTTACACTGTCAAATTTTCTGTGATCACTGTCGGAATTTTCAAACAACAAGTTATAAAAGATTTGTTTTAAAATACTGGAGGGAACTGTAACACTAAAATTAATACGAAGTTATTTCATCCTATATTTACTACATAATGCTTAAAACTTGGGATTTAATAACGCAAAATTGCAACTGTGATCATAGAAACATTGACAGTGTAAACTGGGCCTAAGAATCATTGCCCCGTGCAATTCTTTCAGGGACTAAATTGATTTTTTTCAAATAACTAAAATTCATCTTGCCCCCTGTGGTATTGGTTGCGTAAAATCGTACCACGCAAAACTTCAAAGCACAATATTATGAAACATTGGTTGTGCGTTGAGCAATAACTTTCAATTTGAAAAGAAGAATAATAAATCAACGCGAGTGTGATTCGAGTTTTCCTTCGGTCATATAGATTGTAAAATACAGCTTTGCACATGCAATTTACCATACTAATAAGGTGCATGCATAAACCAGTGGCTTAGCCAGTCCAACAATTTAGTCATGCTATGCTAATATTTTGGTGTTCATTGACTGTGAAAACAATGGATTTCTAAAGACATGAATAAATGATAATAACATAAAACTTGCATAGCATAACTAAATCGTCAGGTTGGCTACGCCACTGCAAGAAACCAACATCCTATATTAAAGTGGTCTTATAATCGAACGTTACCAATTCAAAGGGTCGGCCAGGATCGCGTTTTTGTCTCGTGATTTTGATCATCATTATGTCATTTGATTTGCTGCAATCAACTAGAAATGTTATAAGACATTACTAAAAGACTTTATTTCGAGATATGGATTGGTTTGTGTGTTCTCGTATAAAACCTTAAGAGCAAGTTTGGTGAGTATATTTAGTACAATAGTGCAGGATTAGCAATTGCGAGGCACAAATTATCACTATGAAGACATGCATGCACAGAAACTGGTGTCGCGTGTGATAAATAACTAGTTTGAAGCAATTTAATTTGAATTGAATACATGAGTTATTTACAGTCTATGTATCTTAGTCTTAGATCTGCTGATCGCGTCTGTTTAGTGGCAAGGACAGACCTATCTTCACAGAAAGATAAAATGGTAGTAAATTCTCGTTCTTACGCCCTCAATTTCTATCACTTTTGTATCATTCATGAAGACTTTGCGCCACACGAATGTTAATCCCATATTAAATGCAATTCTCTCACGGTTCACAGTTTTCGTATTAAGCTAACGCCCGCTTTACACTGTCAAATTTTCTGTGATCACAGTTGGAATTTTCAAACAACAAGTTTCAAAAGATTTGTTGAAAATATTGGAGGGAACTGTAACACTATAATTAATACAAAGTTATTTCATCCTATATTCACTACATAATGCTTAAAACTTGGGATTTATAATAACGCAAAATTGCAACCATGATCACAGAAACTTTGAGAGTGTAAACCGGGCCAAAGAATCATTGCCCCGTGTAATTCTTTCAGGGACTTAATTGATTTTTTGCCCCCTGTGGTATGGTTGCGTAAAATCGTACCACGCAAAACTTCAAAGTACAATATTATGAAACATTGGTTGTTCGTTGAGCAAAAAGTTTCAATTTAAAAAGGAGAAGAAAAAATCAACGCAAGGGTGGGGAATACTGCCCAAAAATCCGTTTTTAAATGTTCTGGTAAATATTTTGTAATTCGCTTGTACCCACACATAGCCCGCACATACGCCAATAGCGTCAGCAAAGAATGCATTGTTATGAATGCATTAACCAGCTGTGTCTTTAATATAAGCTATTATTGTTTATTGTCCAGAACTTTTCGAATTTTCCTTCGGTCATATAGATTGTAAAATACAGCTTTGCACAATGTATGCAGTTTACCATACTATTAACGATCAAGTTGCAAGAAACCAGTGACGTAGCCAGCCGGACAATTTAGTCATGCTATGCTACTATTTTGGTGTTTATTGACGTTTTGTGAGCATATTTGGTATAATATTGCAGGATTAGCAATTGCGAGGCACAAATTATCATTATGAAGACATGCATCCACAGAAACTGGTGTTGCGTGTCATAAATAATTTGAAGAAATATCTTCTTAATTTGAATTAAATAAATGAGTTATTTACAGTTGATGTGTTTTAGTCTTAGACCTGCTGATCGCGTCTGTTTAGCGACAAGGGCAGACTTATCTTCACAGAAAGATAAACTGGTAGTAAATTCTCGTTTTTACACCCTTAATTGCTATCACTTTTGTATCATTTATCAAGACTGGCGCCACACGAATGTTAATCCCAACATATTAAATGCCATTTTCTCAATGTTCGCAGTTTTCGTATTAAACTAAGGCCTGGTTTACACTGTCAAATTTTATATGATCACAGTTGGAATTTTCAAACAACAAGTAAAAGATTTGCCGAAAATACTGAAGAGAACTGTAACACTATATGATTACTAAGTTATTTCATCCTAATATTCACTACTAAGTACTAACTTCTTATTAACCGAACGCGAGGTCTTTACCGAGAAATATCGGACCGAGGTCTTCTTTTTCCGACTGAGCTCGAGCGAAGAGCGAGGTTTGTACAAAAAGATCGAGGTCCGATACTTCTCGGTAAAGACTGAGCAAGCGAGGTTAATAAAAAGTTTATTATATGGCATAAGGCATGTATATGTACGGGCCTAACCCATTGCCCCGTGCATGTAATTCTCTCAGGGACTAAATTGTTTTTTTTTAAATAACTAAAATTTATCTTACCCCCTGTGGTATGGTTGCGTATAAAATCTTACCACGCGAAACTTCAAAGTACAATATTATGAGACATTGGTTGTGTGCTGAGTAATAACTTTCAATTTGAAAAGAAGAATAAAAAATCAACGCGAGTGTGGGTAGTACTGCCCAAAAATGGGCAGTACATATATATAAAGGCTAATTTCCACTCCGGAAAACGAGCAGCGGGTCGCATTTTTTTCCGAGCTGGTCCGATCCATGAAGTGATTTCGGATCGGATCAAAAAAAGTCAAAACGATTTGAACTTTTTTTTTATCCGGTCTCGGACGCTTTCGGATCAATATAAGCCAAAAATTTCAACAGACGGCGCACGCGCGGATTATCTTTCGTTCCGATCCGATCCGCTGCTCGTTTTCCGGAGTGGAAATTAGCCCTAAGTTAATCACAAAAACATTACGTTTCGACTAAAGAGATAATAAAGTCGAAACGTTATGTTTTTGTGATTAACTTTATAATTACAAAAACAGTACGTTTCGACTTAAAATATATGATTACTAATAACTTAGTAATTATATATTTTTGAGAAAGATAATAAAGTCGAAACGTAATGTTTTTGTAATTAATATATAATATATATATATATATATATATACAAATATATATATATATATATATATATATATATATAGTGATTAATATATAATATATATATATATATATACAAATATATATATATATATATATATATATATATATATATAACCAAGATAATCGATACATATATTGTGATCAGTTACTCATTTTACTTCGAGTTAAGTGACATAGTATACTCCCAATTTTAAATCTCTCACTCAAACACTATTTTCTACTTGTTGTATAAGTTCTTTGCAAATATTGTTTATTTGCGAAGACTGATAATGGAGAATTTCTTTGAACAAAAATAAACTTGCATGTAATACAAAATTAATGATAAACGATACTCTATTTCATCTTTGACTTTGTTTACCGATTTTCTCACAATTGAATTTCTACATTTTTTATTTTCTTTCAAGAATTTTATTCAAATGAATTCGTCAAAAGAACACAACAACTGGCTAACCGTTGGAGAAATAATCAGATTGATTAAGGAACCCGTCGCATTATACACCTGCAATATCATAGAAAAATGGCATGCAAAGCTGTGTGGTTCTTTGCCAGAGAAATGCTCAAACCCTGGAGATTGTGAAAAGAAAAAGAAACCGCTTGGCCTGTGTCCCTCTTGCAAGCAATGGTACGACGAGCTTGCCAAATCCCACCGGAGAAACGATAAAGGGCAATTCAAAAGCACGTGGCGGCAAAACTGCGACACATCAAAGTGGCCGAATGATCCTTGGGAGGTTGCCAAGTTCTTTATGCCCAGCCTTGGGGACAACAAAAAAAATGTTGAAGACGCCGAAACCACTGATTTATCGTCTCTTCTGAACGTGCTTGCATGGACGGAAGATGCGGTCTTTGCCCCAGACAGACGTGTTGATCGTAACCTCGTTGAGGACCTTCGTTCAAAGGTTAGAAACCCTTGGGCGCATGCACCTAATCAAAACCTAGACGAACCCACTCTTAACGATGCTTTTTGTATTGCTGATAAATTTGTTGCCGACCTAGACATAGTTTTCAGTCGTGAAGAAGTCAAGAATTGTATAGAGGATATCAAAGCTTTGAGAGACAACAGACAAACCAAAGTCACAGAAAACGAGTTGAAGAATCTGAATTTGCGTGAGTTACGTGGAGACGACAGTCAGAAGAAAGGAGAGATGGAAAGTTTGAAAGAAGAATTAAAGTGTTTAAACGATAATGAAAATCCTAATTTACAGGTTATCAAGGAACAGGAGGAAAAATTTAAGAAATTGGAGAAAGACTATAGGTCATTACAAGATCTCATGAAATCATTACAAGATACGGAAAACGTTCAAGCAACTAATCAACCGTGCCAACTGAAGAGCTGTATTCCTGACAAACCAGAAATTTTCATTGGTCGCGACGCTGTTGTAAAGGAATTAATATCTTCTTTGGTAGATAATGGCTGTGGAATTGTATCTATCGTAGGTGGACCAGGTTTTGGAAAGAGCACCGTTGCAAAAGAAGTTTCCCATAATTTAAACACAAACCATGATATTATCGTAATTTTCTCATATTTGCAAAATATTTCAGCTGTATCCGATGTGACACGATGTCTCTGCCTTGACGTCGGCGTTACCCCCGGAGAAGATCCTGAATCATCGTTGATGTCGCGGTTGAGGGATATTGAGCAGAAGGTCGTCCTTGTCATGGACAACATCGAGCAGCTGCTGGAAAGCGGCGATAAATCCCAGTTTATTGAATTAGTGCTTACTCTACGCAAAAATTCACAGCAACGTGTGCAGATACTAGCAACGACAAGAACTGAATTTTTGATTCCTGGGCAAAAATCCGTAACCCATCAAATAAAAGAATTGGATGAAAAATCAAGTGTCGATCTTTTAAAAGAATGTTGCCCAAATGGTGGAATTGAAGACACTTACTTTTCTGAGTTGGCTAACCTATGTGGCTTCCTTCCTCTCGCTTTGTGTCTCGCAGGAAAACGAATTCAAGATCTTTATGATCCTCGGAAGTTAACAAAATGGTTAAGAAAGAAGCCTATGGAGACATTGAAGCCTGTTCAACAAGCCGTCGAATTTTCTTTTCTGATGTTGAAGGATGAAGAACAAAAAGCTTTGGTTCGTCTTTCTGTGTTTGATGGGAATTTCCGAAGTAAATCCGCGAAAAAGGTTATCGGGAAAAATAGTTTGGAAACCATCGATTTTTTGAAAGATCTTGTTGGTCGAAGTTTAATACAAAATACCAGTGATAAGCGATTTGTGATCCATTCGCTCATCCGGCGGTTCCTGTCTGAAAATGTTCAGTTTCATGGTGAAAAGGCAAAGGCTCAAGGATGTATGGTGAGTCATTTCCTAAAGATGTGCCATTTATGGACATGGGAGTGTTATTCGTATAACGGGTTTACTGGCGCCAGGGAAAAACTTAAAAAAGACATCCACAACATCGAGGAAACGCTCAAAATATGTAGTCAAGATCCGGCAACCAATTCAAACACAATCATCCTAAAGTCATTGGCAAGTAGTGACATTTACATGTCTTCATACAGATTTTTTCACAACTTCAGCTGGGATCTTCTTCCAGAAGCAGTTTTGGGAAATTTCTTCGAATCTTGTACTAAACTAGCCAGAAAACAGGAACAAGTAGTTATTGAAATCCTTTTCCAATGTTTAATAGCAGATCAAGAAGGTCGTAAATCTTCGCGGGATTCTCCTGAATACACCAGCCAAATTGGGATACTCGAGGCAGCGTTTCATAAATATGAAATGGATTTGAAAGACGATAGATTCGTTTTTATGTTTTGTTACGAATTGATTACCCGATATCATTTCAACAGCACACAAAATAACCAACCAGCAGATCTTCCTTACAATAATCTTTCTTCTTTGCCTGAAAGCAAAGAGTTAAGTCTTGAAGAAAAGGTTGCAGAAGCATATATTTTAAAGAAGAGGGGAAATATTTGCAAATTGCAGGCCAATAAACTGTTCCGCAAAGACGACAAACAGTACGAAGAATACATGAACTCTGCAAAATCAATTTACAACGAAGCTCTATCTTTAGCCCAAAATGCCTTAGGCGATCACGAATTAACATGTTCTCTCCACAAACTTCTGGGAGATCTATATTTTAACATGGATAAGAGAGATGAGGCACTTGCGTGTTATACCCATGCTATAAATCTACACAAGAAACTACAACTTGATTCTAATGAACAGTTTGTGATGTTGCTCAAAAATTTAGGAGGATGCCTCTCATTTAGTGGTCGCTTCGAAGAATCAATGGAAAAGCTAAGCGAAGCACGCGATATTGCAAACAAGATCACTGAGGAAAACGCCCATTTTAAAGCCCTGGTGTATTACGAGTTGGCAAAAACATGTAGTTCCTGGAATCCCGAATGTCAAAAAGCCGTAGAATATGCAGAAAAGGCAATGAAAATGCAAAAGTTGCGGGACCCGCGCAAAGTAGAAGAATTGAGGGAGATTATCGAAAAGGCAGAGATCGTAAAAAGATTCGTCAGTTCATTACGAGATATCGTCAACGTTCAAGAAACTGATCGGTTGTTTCAATTGAAAAGCCGCATACCCAACAAACCACAAACGTTCATTGGTCGTGACGCTGATGTAGAGCAAATAATAACCTCTTTGGTGGAGAATGGCTGTGGAATTGTCAATATTGTCGGTGGAGCAGGCTTTGGAAAAACCACTGTCGCAGTTGAAGTTTCTCATCACTTAAGCAATGACCATAATATTGCCGTCTTTTTCTCATCCCTGTCAAATGCTTCAAGTGTTGCTGACGTTAAACGACGTCTTTGTCGTGACGTGGGCGTTATAGCTGGAAAACATCCTGACTCATCTTTAACTTTCTGGTTAAAGAGTATTAAGAAGAAAGTTGTCCTGGTGATGGATGGCATCGCGCAAATGGCCAACGGCGATTTTCAATCCGAGCTCACTAAATTAGTGCTTTCCCTCCGTAACCATTCACAGCAACATCTACAGATCCTAACAACTTCAAGCCGCATTCAATTTCCTGTCTCAGTAAACACGGTAAACTATCTAACGGAGGAGTTAGATATGACATATAGTGTGGAACTTTTAAGAACGTGTTGTCCTGATGTAGAAGTTGAAGATGCATACCTGTTTGAATTGGCGAAGCTGTGTGGTTTTGTTCCTCTCGCATTGTGTATCGCAGGGACACTAATTTCAGATCTTGGTGATCCTTCAGAGTTGATACATTTGTTCGAAGAGAAACACATGAAAGGATTGCGGAACCCCAACCAGTGTATCCAGCAAGCCATCTGGGCCTCATGTCAAAATTTGAGAGATGAAGAGCGGAAGGCGTTGGTTTGTCTTTCAGTATTTGTTGGAAATTTTCAGAGCAGCTCCGCAAAAGAGGTCGTTAATAAGAGTGGCGTGGAAGTCGAAAATTTATTAGAATATCTCGTGAGACGAAGTTTAGTTCAGGAAATTGGTGGTGGGCGCTACGTAATTCATTCGCCTATTAAAAGATTTTTAGCCAAACATGATCAATTTCAAGATGAAAGGAAAATGGCACAAGAATTGATGGTGAAACATTTTCTGAAGCTGTGCCATTCGTTAACCATGGACGGTTATTTACATAATGGTTACACTAGCGCCAGAGAATCACTAAGGAAAGACATCCACAATATCGAGAAAACGTTAAAACTGTGCACCGAAGACGAGGCAAGAGTTCTGGGCCCAAATATCGCAGAGTTGGTGGCGAGCAGTGATCTTTATAATTCTTCTTGCAGGTTCTTTTGCGAGTTCAGCTGGGATCTTTTTCACCCATTCGTTTTAACAAAGTTCATAAAATCTTGTGTTGAACTAGCCAAAAGGAGAAAGCAACCGGCTATTGAGATGATATTTCGATGTTTGGTAGCAGATCAATCAGGACATACATCGGGACGGAAAACTCGGGAACACACTCGCCTCGTGGACGCCATCGCTAAAGAGTCGCAGAAAAATGACGCGTTATGGAAAGAAGATAGGTCCTTATTTATCCTCTGTCATTATATTTTTTCCCTGTTTGACTCTGATAAACCAACCAATGAGGCACCTCCTGATCTACCAGAAGATGATCTTCCACCATTGGATGAAGACAAATCTGCAAGTCCTATCGCGAAAGCTGCGGAAGCATACTTTCTGTTGGCGCGTGCCAATTTGAACAAGAAACGTGGTATTAAAATATCCAAGGCTAAGAGTGCCAACGGAGATTCCTATGAATGCTTTAAAAATGCAGAAACACTTTACAACAAGGCGTTGGCGTTGGCTAAAGAGTTGTTAGGTGACCACGAATTCACATGCCGTCTGCACCTACAGTTAGGAGACCTCTATTTAGTAATGCATGATAACACAAAGGCAATAATGTGCTTTACCGATTACATAATTCGGCACAAGAAGCTGGGACTTTATTTTAACGAAACCTTCGTGTATTTTCTCAAGAAATGTGGAATCTGTCTGGCTTATCTTCGTTATTTTAATGCATCCGTGACAACGTTAAAGGAGGCTCGTGACCTAGCTGGAGAGCAAACGCGTTGTAGAGCATTTTTAATTTATGAATTAGCAAAGACCTATGATATGTGGAAACCTGGCTGCTATGAAGCGGTGAAATGTGCCAACGAAGCATTGGAGATGCAAGAATTACTGCAAAGCGAGAAAATGGTAAAAACATTAGAGAAGATTCTTCAAATTGCCGAAGAAAATACGGCGTCATTATAGGCGTACGGAAACAATTAGTGGTAACATTTTGTCGTTTCTCTCGTTCATTCATTCTCTGAATGAACGAGAGAAAACACTACACTATATGGTAAACATTATATATTCAGTATGAAGAAATGCCTGGCCTGAATGAACGAGAGAAAACACTACACTATATGGTAAACATTATATATTCAGTATGAAGAAATGCCTGGCCTGAATGAACGAGAGAAAACACTACACTATATGGTAAACATTATATATTCAGTATGAAGAAATGCCTGGCCTGAATGAACGAGAGAAAACACTACACTATATGGTAAACATTATATATTCAGTATGAAGAAATGCCTGGCCTGAATGAACGAGAGAAAACACTACACTATATGGTAAACATTATATATTCAGTATGAAGAAATGCCTGGCCTGAATGAACGAGAGAAAACACTACACTATATGGTAAACATTATATATTCAGTATGAAGAAATGCCTGGCCTGAATGAACAAGAGAAAACACTACACTATATGGTAAACATTATATATTCAGTATGAAGAAATGCCTGGCCTGAATGAACGAGAGAAAACACTACACTATATGGTAAACATTATATATTCAGTATGAAGAAATGCCTGGCCTGAATGAACGAGAGAAAACACTACACTATATGGTAAACATTATATATTCAGTATGAAGAAATGCCTGGCCTGAATGAACAAGAGAAAACACTACACTATATAGTAAACATTATATATTCAGTATGAAGAAATGCCTGGCCTGAATGAACAAGAGAAAACACTACACTATATAGTAAACATTATATATTCAGTATGAAGAAATGCCTGGCCTGAATGAACAAGAGAAAACACTACACTATATAGTAAACATTATATATTCAGTATGAGGAAATGCCTGGCCTGGATGAACAAGATAAAACACTACACTATATAGTAAGCATTATATATTCAGTATGAAGAAACGCGCACTATAGTCTTTCACTAGTTTATCCATGGGTCTACTTTTAAGATTGGATTCGAAGCTATTACACTTAGGGGACTGACACTAAACTGTGCCTCAGTCTGATGTAAAACTCATCTGCTGTATGTATGGCATGTTTCCTATACCACTTGAAATCAGTTGAAAGACCCACATGCAATATAGAATATGTATACTTGTCCATGATAATTGAATATTTCCCGGCATGCTCTGTAATTAGGTACTGTATATTTTTCTAGAACTGTATGTAAACCATATTTCAAAACGATTCCCATGCTAATTTGTCGATCATTTTTGTCGTTTCATTCAAAACCCAGCCGGCGGCAACAGTTTACTTCAGTGCTCAAGAAGGCGCTTTAAAAATAACTTAGCTGAAACATAGACCTTGAACTTTTTATATATTTTATAATTCTTCCAAGAAATTTCGTGATCCAGATCTTTAAGCAGCCTGGATTCTTGAATCAATAAACGAAACGTCTCAATATTGTCGCCGTTCCGGTATTTATGCCTTACACCTAAAAACTCCGAGACTGTGGTTTATCAGCATGGAGCAATGTTGTGCTGCCATTATTGTTCACACTTGTCAACAACATTAAACAATATTGTTGAAAATGAATCAGGTTTAGTTGTTTAAACGTTGTTTAAACGTTGGCCGAACGTTGGCGCCAAACGTAATACAACGTTCATACAACGTGATTGTGCTAGCTGGGATATGGGATTATAGCAAAACTATATGGAATTTGCTGAATGTGCTTCCCGCCGTTTTTTATTTTATATACATGAACATTGTGTTGCCTTTATTCTCGTTCACGTTTACATGCAAATATTTACGGGCGACTGCATGTTTGAATGTTGCTGTATAGCCTTTCATAGAGTAATGAATAAAGACTCTTGAAACTGAAATCGTTTAAAAGGTGGTTTGATACATAAGACGATCATGCATGTGTTATCTCGAGGAAGTCCCAAATAAACCGCTCCAAATCAATAATTTGCATAACAGTTTGCATTGCCGAGAAAGCAAGCCTATAAAAGCGCACAAAAAAACATAAAATTCCTAGCTGCGTGACATAGTCACAACGCGTAACGAAGATCCTACTTATTGCTAACGTCATTAATTTTTATAAAACAGCGCCATGTTATCAAATTGTCTGGTGACCTATGCTGAAATTTTGCTAAAATCTTTTATTTACCTAAACCTGAAAAAATATGCAAAAAATGCCAAAATGTTTTATTGAGAAGGCAACATCTTCGCATTTTTTTAGAGTTGTGTCCATAGTCCGTAATCCGTAGTCCGTAATCCGTACTCCTTAATCCGTAGTCCGTAATCCGTAGTCCGTAATCTCTTGTCCGTAATCCGTAGTCCGTAGTCCGCTACCAGTGTTTTCTACCATGCCAGATTGGAGGGACAAATGATTTCAATTTTATATTTCCTGTCCCTCCAAACAGGCCATAGATGCTTTGCGGTTCCCGACTAAACCCAGTACCCTGCTGGATTGGGACATGGCTAATTAGTATGAAACCTATATGGCTATAAATCACAATAAAACTCCTTATTCTTTGCATTCGGACTCGAAGATGTGATTTTCATTCAATCTTCAACAATTACAATCAATAACAAATTCTTTAAGGGATTAAAAAATCGGTTATATGGGATGTCTTTGGGCTTCCGCATAAAAGCAAACGACGTATTTGGTGAGTATTTGGTAAATTAATTAATAACCAGTATTAGCAACATAAACAACGTACAAAATGTGACTATAATGGATGGCGTGCTTATAAGAACTCGTGTTGTGTAGAGTCATTTTAAAGCATATTTTGTCGATTTGAATGAATGATTCCTGCGCTTTATTACGTTGGCCTCGAAATCACGCGTAAACCTCCTTTATAAACAATACCTCGGAGATTTTGTACCCGGTCGCTACGTTTTATGTCGTTGAATACAAAATCAATTTGCTACTACATGAATTCGTGCAGTTTGCTGCTATTCAAATGTATTTAAGGTCTTGTTAATCTACATATACATTCAGTGAGACGTATAGATAAGGAATTCGGGGAATTTGAGAAATACCTATTGTAACACGATAACTAGCACCACATGAAAGTAAATTAAGGGCTGATTTTCACTGTCGCGTGCTTTGTACGTACGTATATGCACGTAGAAGTTTAAAATCATTTAATGCTACTTAGGGCTGCATCCCACCGTCGCGTTTTTCACACGTACGTACACGCACGTTAATGAAAATCGTCTTGTAAATTTAATGTTGTTGCAAATTTAATTTTATGCTAGGATAAAGTATAAACACATCAAATCATGAACAGAATATTCAATCGTTGATTTCACAAGTATCAATTAAGTGATTTTAAACTTTTACGTGTGTATACGTATACAAAAAACGCGACAGTGCAAAACAGCCCTCATGAAATCAACGAGGGAATAGCCAATGATTGTGTTGGATTCTGTTGATGTACTTACACAAAAGCGCATCACGTCAAAGGCTTAACCTGTCATTATGATTTTATGCAGTTTTCATCTCACCTAGCCGTGATAACTGCCCCTGAGTTGTTGTATGATTAATTTTATTCCCGAAAAAAGGCACCAAATCATCAAACAAAATCCAACCCTGTATGCATTTATTCAATCATTGATTTCATAAGAATAATTTAAATGATAAATAAATTAACTTTTACGTGCGTGTATTAGTCATTTCCGAATCGAGCAGGGTACTGGGTCTAGTCGCGCACCGCAGAGCATCTATGGACTGTTTGGAGGGGAGGAAATATGAGTCTGAAATCATTGTCCCTCCAAACAGTCCATAGATGCTTTGCGGTTTGCGACTAGACCCAGTACCTTGCTCGATTGGGAAATGGCTAATACGTACGTGCAAAAAACGCTTATAAAAATACTTAAAAGTTTATTCTGTAAATCTGTCCCATGTTTGCGCGTCCCGAAATCGTACCACTACACGCTACGATCAAAATACGATCTTATGAAATATATAAAAAGGCCAGCTCTAGCGTGTGGCAGTCTTTTTATACATATACAGTCGTTATCATTAAGGTTGTCCATGTTAATATATATACAAATATGTATATAAATATCAATCACGTGACCATTACACATGGGTTATTTC